TCCTGGGATCTTGGATCCAGCCTTGGCCAAAGCTGCCGGTCGCACCATGCCACAAGGTTCCTTGATTGGAGCCCAAGTTTATGTTGCAAATGGAGCTTTGAATCATCTGGCACAGATTTTCGAGCTTGGAGCAGGTCGCACTTTGGCGTCTTGGGACGTACCGCTAATCTAGGTCGCGTTTTCACTTGCATGTTGAAGGTTCTTCCTTCTTGGGGTATTCTCTTGTATTTAGGTCCGTGAGCCTAGTACAACACCGGGCTCGTCTCACGAGTCATCCTGGTGCGCGTGGTGATATATAGTCGTAGTAGTAGTCGATCGTAAGACTCAACGTTGCTGCAAAAGTCCATGAAGACACGGATCAAAGAAGAAACACCGGTGCTGCCCTCAACGTGGCTGATTGCTACCGCTACGCTCCCGTTCCCCGTCCTTCCAGGTGGTTGGCTCGTTGGGCGTGGCGAACCGAAGCTCCTGGGATCCGAACTTCCATATGCCACCGGAGCCTTGGTGCCGGAACCGGTTTTTCCGTCGGGGTGATGGTGTTCGCGCCTGGCATCGCCCATAGCGAAAGCAAGGGAAAGGGGTGCGAAAAATAGGTTGTCGGGCTTTGGGACCCATGCAGCATGAGTTTGTCTTGAGGTCTATTTTGGGGATGCACAGTCACTCTATAAAGATGATAAAGCTTCAGGCAACATATATAGTTCCAGTTACAGTATGTTATATACAATCACACGACGGGCAATGCGTGCGGGTGAGATCAGATGGGACCCAAATCAACGGGGCGAGGCTCGAACAGAAAGAACATCCATCATCGGTGAAAGTAGGCTTTTGATTAGTATAACTTCTCTCATTTGGAGTGTAACACAGTGATTAGTCCTCTTCAAACCTAAGAGTCTTCATGATACATCATTTTGCAATATTCTACAGGTTTGTTCTGAAATCAGGAAAGCCCTCAGAAAGTCCTGACAAAAGGGACACAACATCACCATTGATCCGACTCGGTCCAATGGGGAGATGAGGGCGCAACAAGGTTGTTGTAACAAGGTATACTTAGATTCACATATAACCATGTGTGGTTGCAGCAGTCCAACCATCCAACTGCGTATAACACCTAATGTGAAACCTCGCCACCTTCTGTTTGGACAGGGTTTCCTACATTTAACATCTGCTACAATTTGAGGTCCCCAAATAGATATAGAAATAACTTCCAAAACGTTCTGAGCCGGGATTCCCTTCTCTTTGTATGGACTGGACTTCGCTTCATCAGACTTCGCACGCCCTGGACCTGAGGAGATCTACCCCTGGTCGGAGCTCCCCTCCGCCCTCTTGTACAACTACAAGCGATTGCAGGCGGATTTGGGGGCTCTCACGGCAGACTGGGGGTCAGTTGCTTTCGTTTACTGTAGTTTTGTGCAGAGCCACGCTGGAGCGCCGCTGGTGGAAGACAGTCACATCCCATCTTGGATCACAGAATGGAACCTGTCCTGCAATGCAGTTCGTTTGTATTTTTCGATGAAGTCGGGTTGTGATCCACATCCTTCATTCTTATTGTTTTCTTACAGAGAAATGAACTTGTTTGATCTTCTTATTGTCGAGTTCTTCCTGACAAATTGTTTAGTCAGATGAGGGAACCCTCAACGTCCACTGGCCAGTCGAGCACGAGTGACAGCTTCGGGTGGTGTGCAAATATGTTCTGTGCCATTTTCTGTGCATCAGCAGGCCATCACTTGCACGCCATCACTTGCTGTGCATCTACTGTGCATCGTTTCGCCCAGTTCTACCTCTCTCGCGGTGATCACCGGCCAGAGCTCATGAACGCGAGGAGCGGTCTGACATGGTTTGACCGTGTTTTGCGGCTGAGGACGTCCTCAAAGCAAAACCATCTTATGCGTCCACAACCTAAAATGAAAAGATTGAAAATAAGAGCGATGCCCTCTCAGTAATAATAATAATAATTATTATTATATATAATATATATATATATATATGATTAAGAGCCACGTCGAATGTCTAGGAGAAAATACGCAGGGTAAAGCTGTGGTGGGATTGAGCAATGCGCAGAGTATTTGATCGCGTTCTGGATCTTGCCGGAAATCATTGATTCAGGAAGAACTATTGATGTCGATTTCGTTGTGTCCTTGACATCTTAAAGAGTGTTCATGCTGCGAATGCCTGCAAGGAAACCTGTACAACCAGCCTGCTACCCAAGCGCCCAAAGAAGGTTGTTAGTAGAAAAAGACCTTTTTCCATCTTGGAAAGTGTTTCCAGAGTTCAATTGGGAAAACTATGGAAAGCTGATGTTTCTCCTGTCATCCCTTCGTTTCTTCCCTTCTGGCACCCCATGGCTGAGAAATGCTGGCCTTGACGCATGGAGTCGGCAGGATGTTCAAGTACTGGGAGGCTCTCTTCACCTCAGTGGAGAACCAGGCGATTGTTCGACGAGTTTGGCGCGTGTTGGCAAATGTTGTTGGTTTTATGTTTTTCCACGAAGGACCTGGGCACAAAAGGGCACCTCCCTTCCCACCGACCTGAGAAGAAACCCTGCAGGGTTTAATGGTGACTTGGGTGAATGGAAGGCCATCCTGCACCGTTACCTAACATTTACCATCACCATTGAATCTTATCATATATGGCAGAATGGATGATTTGTCCTTCCTAATGAGATGGGTCACGTATTTCAAATGCCTTATTTTGGAGCACCCTCCAGGTCACCATAGAGTTTCGTATTGTGTGGTTCATTTGCAAGTTAATCACCTCTATGGTCAACCCCGAGATCTACGCATCCTATCCATGCAACAGCTGACAGCCTCAAACAAACGCAATGAAGTCAGTAATATAACTTTGTTTTAAAAAAAGAAAACATATTTCAACATGTTATATATATATATATATGTGTTATACTTGTATTGAAATCATCATCCCACTTCTTCACGACTCCGGTCAGTCTCCCAGAATGGATCGTTTTTCGCCGTGGACACCGGTGGACTTGGCGTCAACTCCGCCTTGGGACCAGATCGTGTCGCCAGGATGAGTTGTTTGACCACGAGTTCGTGGACTACATGGCGGAGATGACACAAGCGGTCGCTGTGTTGGGGAAGATGTGGCTGTTTGGGAAGAAAAGGAAGGTCTTGGGCGGTTCTTGATGAGTCTAGTTAGTAGAAGATGCAGGTGCGGGAAGGACAAGCAGCACGGAATGGACATCATGTCCATTGTGACCTGTGGATAGGCTGATAGGATCCTGTGGAGTATTCCTCATCGCCAAAACAGGTGGGACTTGGCAGGTGAGTTTTGCTAGCCACAGCAAAACATGGAACGATGATTGATGGATGGTGTCTAGAATTGACAAAGTGTCCTAGTCTCATTGGTGAGGTCAGCAGTCCTACAAAGAGACATCACACAGAGATGAGCACCGCTACCTTTGCTCTATGAATTTGTTCACCACCTCTATTGAGGGCAAGTTCATGTAATGTAAGGCAACAACAGTGAACCGTCCTGGCAGAGCAGTGGCTTTGACTTAGAGTTCAGTGTTCTAATGCCCTTGTTACTAGTAGCTTCTTGTTGCTAGTAGTGATGCCAGGAGCTAGTAGTAGCTTCTAGCTACTAGTAGTAATGCTCTTGTTCTAGTCTATAGTTCTGTTCTGCAATTATGACATGTTGTGACGAGGCACAACATGTGAGGCCTTCGTACACAAGGGGGATGGCATGTAGGGATAGGCATCCGACTTTTGCAATGATAAATACATACGTGGTCGATAGAAAGAAGGTTGTAGAAGCTTTTTATGGAAATAAGGTTGCAGAAGGGTTGGAAGTGAAGCTGCAGGGCTTTGGTGTTTCCTTTAGACATCTTTAGACTCTATACTCTAGACCCCTCTTGTTTGTCAGCGATACTGCAACTTCCCTGAGAACAATGACACCAACACCAGCTACCAAAGCGGTGGCAGCCGTCGCTTGCTCTCACGGCGCTTGGGCTCCCGCGTGGACCACGGTGATGGGACCTATTCCGTGGAGATGCTTTGGCAATGATGAGGGGCTGGAGGGTGAGCAAGTCAACGGAAACCAATGATTCTCACCAGGGTCCTCGAGATCTTAAACAAAAAAACAAAGCAAGGGAATACACACACAAATTTTGTTTTAAACAAAGGATTCGGTCCCGTCTCAGGGTGATTGATGATCAAAGATGTAAGCCTAAGGAAGCAAGAATAGACACAACAGGATGACTGTCATCTCATGACTATATTTATGACCAACACAAAGAAATACAAAGAACTGTTATTCTCCCTGTCACTGGTCTAAATATATCCTCCCGCCTGGCCTGCAGAGCTTGGAATCATTTTTGTTGCCTCTTTCCAATGGAAGATCAGACACACTTGTGAGGCCATAGAAAAACGCGTGGCCATGCACAACGCCGCACACTTTTTCCCCATGAATGGACACCTTCAAAGTAGCACATACCACAATTGGACCCCTGCGCACAGGTCTGGACCATGATTCCGCAGGGATTTCTCTTTCATCAACTCTTCCCGAAACCGTCCCGAACTCCGCACACCCCGGTACGGACCACGAACACCCCGTTACGGCACCCGGGTCTTACTCAGTGCTTTGCTCAGGATCAACTCAGAGGACTTAAAACCAGCGGATCCGGACCACCCGCTGCGGCGCCTGTCTGCGGCCGCTGGGCGGATGGTTGGAAGCCCTGCGGGGCAGCCGGGGGCAGCCGGTGCGCGTTCGTGGTTCTCCAAGATGGAGACTTCTGCAAGTCCGCCGGTGTTCTGCTACGAGCCCTCGGTTGTTTTTGGGCTGCGTGGAAGCAACCTGCGAGAATGCTTTTAACAGTTGGTTCAAGATGGTTCAAGATGGTTGTTGATTCATAGTTTGGGGCATTTCTTCGGCCAGAGTTCGATGCCCTGTGAAGATTGCAATGGGTTTCGAAGTGAATTACAGCTCGATGAGTCAGCTGCTTTGGGCAGAGGATGGCGATGGCCCAGCTCTGGCTCTGAAGCTGAATGCTTCACCTGACATGGGAAGATCATTACCTGATATTGAAAGACTGTTTGAGATTCCACTGTTGTTTTTGTGCAGAAAAAGATGGATACACCCAGAGAGTCCCAGGGGTATCCTCGGGGTATCCTTTGCACATACTTAGACTTACTGGATACTCAGCTGCTCAGGCAGGTCGACGGTTGGATGACAACGAACCACCTTGGAAGTACAAGGCTTGGGTCACCCCAGAGAGGATCGTGTCTTGGCTAAGTGAGGGAGGATTAAAAAAACAAAGCCGGTTGGAGATTTGGTGGATCAGGTGTGCAAATCAGAGATCCATTTGCAGTTCCGCTGGAGTTGGTGTAGAAGCGTTCCCTCTTCAGTTGTGGTGGCAAGAGTTCTTTGGGTTGCCCTTCCTTAAATCCTCCGCTGCGGTACCACACAAGTAGCTGCCAAAATTGATAGCTCGCAAGTTTGGTTGTGCTTTGATTCATTGCTCGGGTGTTTGCACCTGAATTCCAAACACTCCGAATATATATGGTCATATATATGTATATGCGACGACTCCTGTAACATCAGGCCTTCACATACATGAATGACACCAACACACACACCCACACATTTATGTTTCTCATAAGTGTATCACAAATTGATCGAGATTTTATGGTTTCCGGAGGCATTGGATATAAACCACGCATGACATGAGATTATGACACAGCATGTGGTAATTAGTGGATGAGATAGAAAGCGTTCGGTCATGAGGCAACTAGTGGATGAGATATCATGTGGCAACATGATGACTTCGTCGCTGTGCCCCCAGCTCCTATGTCATTCGCCCAGCCTATTCTTATGCCCTGAGTATACCCCAAACACATGTCATGAGACGGCCTTGCCAGCTTCCAGCTTTCGCCGCGAGACCGGAAGAAGGAGCAGCGTGCTTCCGCTCGCTCAGCTTCGGCTTCCGCTCGCGTGTGTGCCCCGAAGTCAGGAAATCGAAGCGGACATCGGAAAGGCCAATCTCAAATTCCTGGTGCCTTGGGCACGACAGATGGAGCGTGGCAAATGGCAGCCGCACGAAACAGCCAACAGCAAACAGAATTAGTCGCCCAAACGACTTGGGGGAGTGATAGATGGTCATGGTGTGGGGAAGGAGAAGATGTTTTCCCAAAAGACAGGAGTCCGGGACGCGGCGATGAAATAGGTGGTTTCTGGCATCCTTTGGGCAAAGTTCCCGATTTGTCCTCGACTTGAGGCATAGAATCTAGTTTGGACTCAAAAGGGTTTGAGATCACCACAAGCATGCGCGCATGCACACAAACAGCTCGAATTTGGACCAGCACTGCAGAAAGGGGAGAAGAATAGCCGCATAGTATAGGAAGAGAGGCTTCGCTTTTGCAGGCATATCGTAGGAGGAAAAAAGGATATATATCAGACATGAATTGATTCGTCCGAGTCCGGGGTTTGGGCCGTGGGGCGGTCGCCGAGCGAAGGAAGACCCAGACAGGATGATGAAACGGTACTTCCATCCTGGTGTCCGTTTATGAGCAAACATTCCACATGAGAAGACGCGTGTGCAACATGGGAATGAGCCAATGTCCAAATCACCGGAGTTGATCCATTCCCATGCTTATGCGCCATTGACATGGCAATCACCATGGCACCCATTTCCAGCATGGCGCCTCACCGGCTAAAGGACAAGATCTACACCCTGGAAAATTCACGTGGAACCTGAATCCCACTGGGTTGTAGAGGAAATAGTCTTCCTTGCAGGTCCATTTTCGGAATCAATGTTTTTTTTGTATATGTACCTTTTCATACCTGTTCCATGCATGTTTCACACCTCCGGCACCATGATGCCAACGATGCCACCGCCAGGTGCAGTACTGCAACCTGTGGAACCCCACAGCGACCAACTGGGGCGCCTGCATGTCGCTCGAAAGGGAAAACGGAGGTGCTCACTACTGTGCTCCGGATTCGGGGACCTGTGCTTCGGATGAAACAAAGGGTTTCAACCATGGCTCTATGGTCCATAGTAATCATTGTGGGTGTTTCAGGATGTTTCAGGTATCGATGATGTTGACACGTTTTCCATATATGGACTGTTTAGGGCAGTATGCAGCGCACCAAAAGCGGACCCCGCGTTCGCGCCATGCTCGGTTTGTCGTGCATGGTCTCATTGACCAAGGGGTGTGCTGGTTGGTTCCACCTTTGAAACATACTAGGTCGGTCCACCCACCGGCAGGGTCGGTCCTTTTGATTGATGTATGTTGAGAGATTTTCGATATTTTGAAACAAGTCCCATACAGGCCATACATTGAAAACAGTGCATCAAAACATGTTGAAATGTCCCTGGCATTGTTTTGACAGCACGTCGTGTTGTTGCTAATGTGGCTTGGCCCGTGTGGCGTCGACGTTGATTAGTGGGGGTCAGTTGGTGGGATGTTAGGCATCTCATGCTTGACAGCAGGAGGCTTGAATTGGCTTGACATGATTGGCAGAACCTCGCTTGTTGCCTTGGACGTACGAGGATCGCTTAGAGATGCGTTAACATTATAATGTCTGCACGACCCCTTTATTCTAGAAGTTGATCATCTTGAAAAATAGAAGCAACACAAAAGCAACAGAAGTGCAAACCAAAAAAGCGCTAGCAAAACAAAGAAGCAACCAAGAAAGCAAAACAAAGTGCAACAAAAAGCAATCAGAAGCGAAACAAAGAGCAACCAAGAAAGCAAAAAAATAAAGTGTAACCAAAAAAGGCACAAACAAAACAAAGAGGTCCCTGAGGATTCTGCACTCAACCGGGCTTTCTGGTGCACGTTTTGGAAGGGTCCACTTTCTGGCGCACTTTCTGTTGCACTTTTGGTCGCATTTTTGTCGCTGTTGTTTCGTGTTTTTGCTTTTTGGCGAAAAAACAGCGAACAAAAAGCGACCAAAAGTGCACCAGAAAGTGGACCCTCCCAAAAAGTGCGCCAGAAAGTGGACCCTTACAAAAAGCGCGCCAGAAAGCCCGGCTTGTTTTGCTAGTGCTTTTTTGGTTGCACTTGTTTGTTTTGCATTTATTTTGCTTTCTTGGTTGCTCTTTGTTGTGCTAGTGCTTTTTGGTTTGCACTTTTTTGTTTTCTTTTTCAATGTTGTTTTTTCTAGAATAAAGCCACCTCTGGTGGACATAACGTTAACACATACTTAAGTTCAACAGAATGCCAAGAGGGATCTCTTCGAGAATCCGGCGGTCATAGTATTTCTTTTATGTTCTTTCTGTTACATTTAAAGCCGCTTTGCTTCCAATGTTGGCAAACACCTTGTGCTATCAATGGCCAGTGTGCCCGCAAAGATGTTTCAAGCCTCACACCCACTGACCGCAAACCAAAGGCCTGCTGCGCACCCCATCAGGTCTCTTTTGTTACAGGGTGGTCTATGACCAAAAGAACGATGAGCTGGGCAGAATGCTCAAATCAAAAGAATGAACACCAAGCCGTGAACCCCTTCGGGACGCTTAAGTGCCACGTGCCAAAAGCCCCGGCACGTCCTGCCGCTTTCGGACGCTTCGCGCGTGCACTGAGGACTGGCCGCGCTGGCGCGGGAGACATCGTAAAGCTCGAAGGCTACTGCAGTGGTACACAGATCTTCTGGCCTTTCCCCAAGGCGACTCGGTTGGTACTGCGGTCTCACCTCCGAACCACTGTCAGACAGTGACGTTTGCAGAATCACTTGGGGTTGTGGCTCCCGACTCTGAACATGCCAAAAATCGCCTCATCGCTTCTGGCTGGAGGAATCACGTGTTTTCTGTGTTCAATCGGTACTAGTTTAGCTTTGGATTGGTTTCCCGTGATGAAAAGCAATCTTTTTATGTCGTGGCCTCAAAACTTTACTTCATATATATATAATATTTACATACATATGAGTCATATGAGTGAATAATAAGCAACACACTTTGTGCATGAAATCTATCAAGAACATCTGCAGGCCTTCGTTTGATGGGACTCGGACTGAGGTTTCCTTGACCTTGGGCGGCTTGCTGGTCTATGATGACACCGCGGCCATGGGCATAGAACAGGAGCCTCCGGCCCAACATATCACCCCGCCAGATGTTTTTTTGTGTTCGTTCGATGTTTGCTGAGCTTTGAAGGGCTAAGAAACCAAGATAGTCATCCTAGTTCAGGATAGAGACTTCTACTTGGAGAACATGGAGGGTCGTGAACGAGTCTTGGGCATGGATGGCTGGAGCTACAAATGGTACGACCGCGGCCAAGCCGTGCCTTAGCTGGAAGGGCACGCCGCAGACCAATGGATGAACTAGTCTTCCTTTGCAAAGTCCCTTTGGGTTAAAGTGGATGCCAAAGTCAACGCCAGGACTGAACGAAACAGGACGTCAAGCACGGTGACCGGATGACTGTGTGTGAAGGCCATTAGCTCTAGTACCAGAGCAGGTGCTCCCCGGTAGTTGAAGGGAGATGGCCCCCTTACGCTTTGTAAGTGTTTGTTTCCCATTCTCCACCTTCATTGGGACTTCTGTGGGACTTGGATCTGCGGTCACGCGCTTGGAAGATGTTGGAAGAAGGAAGGCCAGCGTCGGTCCTAGGTGGCTGGTCGATCCGCATCATGTCATGTACTTACTATAGAATTATATTATGTATTTATAGATATTTATGGCATAGTGTACGATATAGTTTTTTTGTTGTTTTTTGTAATCTACTTATATATGTACTATCCACATAGTGTACCATATCTTTATTATCCGAATCCGACGAATCGGCCTGTTCCTTCGCTCCGGGGTCCGGGCATCGTCGCCTTCAGCTCGGCCCAAGAGGACGTGTAGACAGACATGCACCCCTTCCCGGCAGTTCAAAGGGGATGGGTTTCTGAAAGCCCCCAAAATGGGTGGAAAAAACACATGTATACTAGAGCAAGAAGTCGGTTTGGACAAGGGGCCCTTTGAACACGAAACCTGGTCGATTGATAAATTTCGCAGGGCTACACCCGTCCAGCTTCCCACTAACCGCAGCCTGCTGCGAGTTGGGAAGATGATGTTCTTCTACGCGCCGGGATCTCGTTTGACTCGTTTGAAGGTCGAACATTTAGAAACCAGCCCCACAGAGTGACGATGTGTGGCGATCCCGACATGGAGGGTCCAGGTTGGTTCGTTGTGATGTCTGTCTTTTTCAAGGCAGCAGTTGTTTAGTTCTGACATGCTTACACTTACTTTACCCCTAATTACCTAATTAGATGCATGGCGGTTCTACCAGATGTTTTGCTTCTTACTCCCCCCACATCAGCTCGCCTGTCACACTCACTCTTCTCAGCTCGCCTCTCCCAGGGCACCAAAGATACCTGGCAGATCCGCTCCGCGGATCCGGGCATCACAGTGATCGGCTCCGATAGCCGGGTGTTTATCCGGAACATGAACACAGGACGAGCGCTGACTGGGGTGCGGTAGAAACGACCCTGTTTTGTTCGGACCAGATGAAGAGGTCCGATTTTCGGAGAGGTAGCAGGTTGATGGTTGACTCATCGTTTTGGGGAAGAAGTTCCATCAGCTTTGCACCAAGGGCGGCTACCGTCACGTCGTGGTTGGAGTTTCGAACTAGAACTAGAGCCAGACCTAGTCAAGGTGAGGCTCAGGGTTGGAGATTGGGCCCCATGGAGTTTTGCGGGGGAGCCTTAGGCGAATTCTTGTGGTTGAAAAATTGTACATGTAGACTCTTGATTATGTGTCAACCCTCCATCTGGATTGTGAAACAGTGAAACCTTCTTCATGCTGGGGGTAGGGGTAGGGTGATGATTTGCGAGACAGGGAAGGTGGCGAGTTGGCGATGCCCTAGTACAAAGGTGGCCTGGTCTATGACATTACGACTGCCTATGCGGGCAGGACGACACATCCAGGACAACAATGGAAATGTGCGAATGAGCAGCAACACTGGTGGCTGGGAGAAGTTCAAGGCACGGGACATTTGCAAGCAGCCAAACTCTCATGTCGTATGGGCCGGGCCGGGTGGGTTAAGGGGTAAATAGGGACTATCATCTGCCTGCGAGATGTTTCTATAAAGCTCTTGCAACAGGGGTTTAACGGTTTAACCCATGGACTCCTGCCCCATGTTGTGACCACGTGGCCAACGTCGCCCCCGTGTGGCAGATAACTGCGGCGTCGAACGCTTGGCAGATCCACCTGGAGGCTGAATTCTTGATGTTCAAATGTAGAAAAAAATATCCCAGGAGCTTCCTGAGATTTTGAGATCACAAACAGGCCTTGAAAAGGTCACTTACCAATCCTGAAGAGGTCACTGGGAAGGTCCTGGTCTATAGTCTATATGTAGGAACGTTATTGGGGTCAAGAACTCACTCCAACCCGTGAGAGGCGTGTCCGAAACCCTCCCATGTCACAGTTTGAAGACATGTTGGATATGTTAATGTTGGACGTCATCTCGATTGCTCTTGAACAACGCTCAGTCGTGAGCTTTTCTTCATCTCATTGCACCGAACCTTTGCCAAACGTCTGTAAATAAACACCGACCACACCGGTGCTTTCACCACCCTTCACGGGCACCCTTTGTGTGGTTGGGTGTCGAGGTCTTGGATGCAGGAGGAGGAAAGGTCTACCTCCAGAGCCATCGCGGGGCATACTTGGCCATTCGCGAAGACAAGAATTGGGGAAGTGCCCTGTCTGCTGTGCGAATGTGCAGTGGGGACAGGATTGGCAGGAGGTAGGGTCGGTAGGGTGTAGGAAGCGTGCACATGGGAAAATACCAAGGGGCCCGGTGCGGTCGGCAAGGTAAGTGCTGGCAATAGCAACAAAAAGCAACCTAGATGTTCCGAAGCTTTGGGAACCTATGGCTTTATCACCAAAGAACAGCTCTTGGTTGGCCTATTTTCCCCTTTGTGAGCTTTGTGCTTCTTCCAAATCTTGGCACCCTTAGAAGAGTTAGCAGCATTTCAGTAGCCCTGAGGACGAAATGTGTTGCGGCAGAATAGACCCGAAAGGAGAAGCCCGTGAAGCCGGAACTCAGCGGAACCCACAAAGCCAGCAGAAATGCCGGCCAGCTGGCACCCTAATCGATTTCTGCCAGAGTTCAAGGCATCATCCGGTGATGTATCGCCCCAATGGGGCCAGTGCTCCTTGGTGAGTTCCTGTGTATTTGTCAATCTGGCAGGCCAAAATTGTGGTTGAATCACAGGATAGCCAATGCAGCTGTGGCTCGCCGGTGAGGGTGCCCTCCATTGCCACGTGGTGCCCAGTGCTGGTCTGAAGTGATGAGCCGGCTTGATTCCCGGCACCACTTAAATGTTCTATCCTTGCAATGTGAATCCTTTCCTTGGGATCACCGTCCTCGAGCAGATATGACGAGAATCCACCAACCCAAGGCAGTTTACAACTCCAAATCCCACCAAACCATACCAGGACCCACAAACCAGGGTCCAATGAACACACCCCCTATATAAACCTCTTTCTGAGGCTATTAATGGACATCCATTTGGCGCCCTGGAATGCCCTGCATATATTCTGCTGTTTCTTCAACTTAGAAGAGATGTTCGGATTTGCAATCACTGGCCCAGGTTTGGAATGCAAGGCTCGGAGTCGGGATCGATTTGGTCCGCCCGTTGGAGAGTCCATGTGACACAGCAGGAGCATCAGGGCTTGTTGGAAGTCTGAAGTTTCTGATTGGGCATGCTTGATTGAGAAGCAGTACACTGAGATAATTGTAGGCAGGGCGTAATAAAACAATATCTTATTTCCTCATGTAACATTGCCATTGTTTGCAGTTTCCTGTTTGCAGGGAGGAACCAAAAGACTCGACCACCTATTCGACCCGTTCCCAAGCCCATCAAGCACCTGAATCAATCAGCCTGAATCTACTCATTGGCTGAGTCCAGCCACACGTTTTTTGCCTGAGAGTTGGTTCAGTCTAGACGGGCTTCAACCGGCCTTCGCTCCTTGGACGGGACGGTGATCGGGAGGTCACCCTCTACGAGGACCGTGCCTTACCTGAACCGGCGTGACCAGGGGGGTTCCCCCACTGCTGACCAGCTTGGAACCGGAAACTGCATGGAACAGGTCGTGTGGAACCGGACGTCCACCGAAGGGAAGCTGCGGCACGGGAGCTTTGGAGCTGCTGACCATTCGGGTTCGGGTTGGTCGAAGGATGCGCAAGCAAAAAGCCACCTGTGCCGGGTTGAGAGGGCAAGGTGGGGTGCACCTAGCCCTGGGATTTTCAGTCAGACCACTTGGTGATGTTCATTGTTTGCTCGGTTGGATCCTTTGATCCGTGGATTCTTTCTTTAAATTACAACCAACTCATTCCCAGAGTTCTACAAGACACTGCAAAGGATATTCTTGAGCCAATCACCTCGCAATGCCCAGACCTCCCATCTCCCACCTCCCACCTTCCCTCAGGTAACTGCCGTGGCGGCTCGCGTGTGGAGCGCAGCACCGACTCCAGCGGCCAGACCTTTGGACCCTACGGCCGCCGCCGCCGTCGCCGCCGCTACGTCTACATCTCCGACGCCCGGGCGGAGAGGGAGCGGTCCCGCGTGGTGGGAAGCGGAGTGAGTGGATGGAGCTGGGCGGAATGTAATGGATTTGGAGGGAAAGTGAAGTGGATGTTTATGGATTTTTGGTTGAGGATGCTTGGAATGGAAGGTCGAAGTTGAAGATCTAGAAGTTTGACTGAGATATCCTGGTGACTGTCCGGGGGTTTGATGTAACTAAGAGACAAAGCAATCCTGAGGGTTAATCCAGTGGAGGGTCAACATACGCCAGATGCTGTATGTACAAAATTGCTTGAATCCTTGGAGACGATGAAAAGACGATGACTCCAAGTCGTATTGCATGAAGTCCGAATGACTTGTGACTTGTGATCCTCAGGATGAGTGGAGATCTGCTAAGGGTGAAGGACATTGTCGACAGGCAACTCGCCTTTCATGGCCTTCCTGTGTTCCCTCAACCTGCTCGGGCTCCCCGAGCTTCCCGGAAGCACTTCCCGGAAGCCTCCCATGGCTCATGCTGCGTAGTCGTACACTCTTGATCAAAAAATTACATTTGGATTGAACAATTCTTCATATGGGGTGCTTTGTTGATCAAGAGTCTAAGACTAGACAGGTCGAGTTCTTCGACGAAGACGAGAGCGAGACCATGTATGAAGACAACCTGTGGCAATCGGGCAACTTTGGTTGCTTTGACTTCGAGGACCGACTGTGGCATCGTGACGCTCTGTTTAACGTTTAGCGGCGTGCTGGAAAGAATGGATGGGGAGCTCGAACCGGGAGATGTACAGTTGCAAGTATTTCCAAGGTGATTGGATGTTTCTCCACGTTGAATAACTGAAATGTTTTAAAAATGAGTACAACTGATTCGTGAGTGGAGGTCATTGAGGCATCTATCAAGTCAAAGGCTATATTCAAGGCCTTCTTGTTCGAATTTCATTGCTAGATCTTATTTAGTTGTCCACATTTGGGACATGGCCTTTTTGTTGCTTAGGTGTGCAAAGCCGAATAGACGGTTGCACAGGACATGGATGGTGGAAGTGATGTTGATGAAGACTTGCGCAAAGCTCAGAATCATTCCGCACTGCAATAGCTGCAATAGCTAAAGTTTGACTTGTGAATCCCTTTGGACAGTATCACTGATCGTGATGTTTTTTGTCCTTGTCTCTCTCTCTGTTTTTTGTGTTCAATCTATATGTATATGTTATAGGAAACATGAATGCATGCCATTGCATGACAAAGAAACCTGAACAGCTGATTACAATATATGGTTGTCGATCTAAAGGTCCTAATACATAGCGTTGATTACGATGACCCTAGAACATGTCAAAACCTTGTTTTTTTCTCGAGTTCGCGAATGTATTTGTTTTTGGCGAAAGATATGGCTAAAGATGTTCTTTCTGCTGCTGTTGCTACTACTACTACTACTACTACTACTACTCCTACTACTACTACTACAACTACTACTACTACTACTACTACTACTACTACTACTACTACTACTAC